TAAGATAATAATGAGGATAACCGTCTGGATTCACATATATATATTTCGTCACAATAACCTTGTTTGTCCGGTCATTCACATACTACTTCTTATGAAATATATATATATATATAACAGATTAACCGATGCGAGAGTCCGATCGCACATCTGTTTTCGAATTCCTTCAATGCCCATGTAGGGCGCACTTTGATCCCAAAGAACTTGAAAACCCAAGTTAAGCGCTCGTTTACCGACAGAGTCAGTACGTGAACGACCAATAATAGCATTATTAAAAGTAATGACTATAGGAAGGTAACTGTTCGTTCACAAGTTAAAACTCCAAAACCGCTCGTGGTCGAGCCATTCCACCAGGTGTTACAACAACGAACTAACACACACTACATCGAGTAATATTCTGTCAGCAATTGAACAGCTCAAGGTTCTTTCTTTGTCTCCGACAAACACACGATCGACCGGATGAGACAGGGCAATTTAGTTATGCGAAGACGTGTGCGAGTGTTAAAATGACAAAAGTGAAGGCACGAGCCACTCACAATGTGAACCACGATTGCTCAGCGCAACTGCAACACCCCCAATGGATGAGCAAAACTGTCTTTCAAACAGGGATCTTTTCATGACACAGACCAAGTCTGCCCTGAAGACCATTTGTCCCAATAAATATTCCGTCTCCCTACAAAATGCTGCTCAATCGAGTTACGATATTTCCAAAGCTTCAGTCACTTAAAATGGATTTAAGGCAAACAAATATACAAGTTGAGATCGTCCTTCTTGTGCGTAAAACATTGAGCAATTTGACCGTGTGATCAAGCATTCAGCAAAACTTCTTAAACATCTTGTTTGTTACTTCAGGTCAAAATTCGGTCAAGTAAACCAACTGATTGATCAGTAGTGGGCGGTTTTCGCTATATTGTACGGTGAATTTCATTAGCTTAATGGTACCACAACGCGAATCTACAATCGATCCACAGTTTGACCTTAAACACTTCACGAACGAACCAGTAATCAGTGTTTTCAGGTGAAATTTCTGACAGCAGACAAAAACAAAGGTCAGCGCTCGCCATGAGGCTACGCGTGCAATGAAAAGAAAACTAGGTATACGGTCGAATAAGCTGCTGGCATTGTATACGTGATGGACTAGCTCTACCCAGTAGGATCACCACGCGTCGTGTGAGAGACTGTCGTCGGCGTGAATTAAATGGCCTATTATTTATCTCTAGCGAAATTCGGAAAATATTAAGCACTTTCAAATGCTTGGTTGAGGCGGCGCTTACAAAGCAGCTCATTATCTGTTCTTGCTTCACCAACCCAGAAAAATCGAACTAGCTGGGGGGGGGGATGATACATATAATCCGAAACCACCCAGTGCATAACCACTAAGTGAACTTGACCGTGAATACGGACCGATGCGCAATTCGAAATGATGGCCTGGCACTTGTGGTGATAGACCTGATAAAAGAAACAATTCCGTATTCGTTCTTGTCGACCTTGTTTCACACTTCAATTGGTGAAAAATGTGCCCAAATGACGTGTAGATACAGGAACACGGAAAAAAAGTACGACCAAAATTGGAATAAAATTTTATTGCACGGTTTTACAAAAGGAAAAAAATTGTACTATTGAAAGCCGACTAGAAGAAAGCCTGAACGGACGTCCTAAACTGCTTGTGGGAATTTATTCTAAAACACCATATTCCAAATCGAAACAATCCTTTTTTCGTTTCCTTTTGTTTGTTTGTAGTTTTTTTGTCGTTGAGTGTGCCCGGTCATTCCGAAACCGTTCGGTGCCCACTGCTGCAGTTGATGGAGGTTCCGCTTTAGTTTTATTGAAAAACACAGCTGTGCAATGTGCTCGCGTATGGACTGGTAACCGAGCGAGAGCACACACTCACCACCACTCACGACGATGGGAGAGGATACCAATCGATCACATTTATTGTCGATTTGGGGGGAATGTCAGGAAAGTGGGTCTTCACATTAGAAACGTATCAGATAATGGTAATATTTGGCTGGACGAGGGTGGCGGGGTTGGGAGTGGGTTGAACAATACACAAGTCACTCATTCGTAGACCGGGTTAGAAAATATTAGTGTGGAGAATAAGAGAACAGAAGGAAAGGGAATAAAAGCGAGCGGACGGGGAGTGTGCTGCAGGGCTCGACTTGGATAGGATATCAATAGTACCTAGGCGCATTTCGGTGTGTCCCGGAGAACGAAAACAGCGGCGTCGATCAAGTTGAGTGCCAAGAAAACGCAAAAAACGGACTTGAGCACTGGATGGTCAATTGAAAAAATGAACAACGGGAGAATGGGTTGGGTTGGGTAGGGGGCTTCAAGGAGTGTGCTACTGGAAGCTCGTCTCGTCAGAGCGATAAGATCATCTGTACATACATCACATTGAGACGGAAGCCCAAGAGGCGCCTAGGGAAGCCGTCCTTCGAAACCGTTGGTTATCTTGTGTGCCAGATTCCTGATGATTGTAGGGAATCCACAGTTAACATGGACGGCAGTAAAAGAGCCCAACACGGAACGAAAGTGGATGGTCGGGAGTTTTAGGTGATAAACTCATTTTTTAGTCGTCCTTATCACAGGAGCGTGAAGGTGGACAGAGCTTTGAGGAAGGATCGATACAACAGCAACGACCACGAGGCACAAGCCAACGAAAACCTCTATGGTGATCAATACGACGAAAGAACCCTGAGAGCGATTAATGATGAGATACACATGTTTCCTGAAATGGACTAGAAAGGGAAAGCAGATAAAAGAGAACGGAATAAATTTGTGGTCAACGACAGCGATATATGACAATAAACGAGAATCAAAAAGAAACGGTTTCTCCTCTAGTGGAGAGAAAAACGAATAGTAATTTGAGCTGATTTGGTTCCCAATACACAAGTGCCCTGAAGGGAAAATATAGCATTATCAAAGGAAACGCCTGGTGTCAGAACTGGACCGCAGTAGAGGTGATACTAAGTCGACATTTCGGTCATCTATGCTGACAACGCCGTGCTATTGATAAATACCATTTTTACATCAAAATAAATTCCGAAACGAACCAATCTGATGACATGATAGCGTCTAACCACATCTAACCACAACTGAGTACCTAGTTTAGCCCAATGAAGTTTCATATTTTCATCTCAAGCCGCGAATTTTAGATCGCTGGTTTCCATACGTGAATATCGGGTCCGTGTAAAAACGGTGTTCACTCCTACTACTGTCCATCACAAACGTGTTGCACGGACCTTTAGCTAAATCGAAAACAACAAAGGGTTAAACTGCTAATCATTTCCGCATTATTTCGTATGTGAGGACATCCATTCATGGAGTCAATCTACCAACGTATTCAACGGTCTCTGGAAAAAGACCCTTAGGTTCAGTGCAGTTTACACAACCATAAACCATGCACTCTCATGAGTCGGTTTTGGTTGCTGTCTTTTGGCTGCCCACTTGGATGAAGCAGTTGGAGAAAGACAGGAAAGCTGAAAGTAGAGTCGAAGAGAAAATGAAGAATTTCAGTGGACTATGGTTGTAAGGAAAGTGTCGAGATGCACGAACGCCATTGTTTACGACACTCAACCACATCACCCAATGTCCCTAACCACCGGTTATTATCATCCCGAGGTCCCCAGCCAGGGAGCCTAAGGCGACCCATGTGGCCGACTCTCCTAGTTAGGGTTTTTCATACCCTCGTGCCAGGTCTGAAATTTACCACTCATGGTTTTTCCCATCCACAAGCTGCCTCGGCAAACATCGTGCTTCGTGGCAACCTATTCGTTAACATGCGTAACACGCCGCAAACAATGTCATCTATGGAGGTCGACCACTTGCACCAGTGAACGACCGCGAATACCCAAAACTCTGCGCTTAACCTCAGCATTCCTAGTCCGGTTGAACCACCAGATTCGTGCAGCGTAGGCAGCGATGTTCGAACACCATCATCATCATTTTACCTTCGTGTGGCGTTTTCGGTTTGTCTTTTACCCTCAGACTTGGATGAAGGATTACACCACGACCGCGATTATCTAAAACGCTACTCCTAGCCTTAGTATTCTTTGTCCGGATGAGCCATCATACATGCAACCCAGGTAAATTTACGGACTTCCACGTGAAGCAACACAGCTCAGTCTCGCTTCATCTGTCACTACTGCGCGTGGAAGTCAAAAAATTACGTGGATACGAGACATGAGGAAACGCACAGATCGATTCGGAGTGGTAGGTCTCCCTTCTTCCAGATTGGGGTCCGAAAGACTCTGTAACTGGTTGGTTGGAGACAGTGAAAGGTACGGTACCTGACCGACGGCAGTGGCGTTCTCGTTGCTATTTCCCATCAAACCACAATGCTTGAAAACGTATGTATGCTCAGATAGATTGTACACCCCGTGTTGACCATACAGGTTCACTTTCTTTGCCTCCCTCCAATTAGGCCTAAATCCTATAGACCTAGTACTTCCTCATTTACTTCATTTACACTGAGAGCTTGGCAGCGATCAGCGAAGTTTACTTTTCTGTAACTCGTACGATTATCAGCACCGCTTACAAATCTCACAGACGATGAAAAAAACGACAAATAGCCAACAGTTGAGCCTCGGGACGGTCAGTTCGTAGGACTTTCAAACCCAGCTGTTGCTGTCTTTTGACATCAAATAACAGCAAATCTGCGGTTAGTTGTCCTTGATTTCAGTTCACTAATCACACTGTATTTACTATTATGCCGAATACAATTTTAATATGTTTCGGTAGTGGCGGTCCAACGACATAGACCGACAGCCCATTACTTCTCACTGTGTTTAAAGCCTAAAACGGTAGCTCCATTTTCGCATATATTGACTGACAGACACCGTTTCACTACAGCCTCCTCGAATAGTGACTGTACATTGGTTGTATACCAGAGTAAAAGACTAATTGTTTATTATTATTCAGGAGATGACGTTTTAAACCGGTGTTCTGGATACTTATCCGGAAGATTAAGCCGAACAGACAAGACGCCAGTGGGAAGGAATAACTTACTCGAAAGCCGGTAGCACGAGATTTCCTAGAGTAGACTGGACTTCGTCAATCTGCTCCTCCGTTTCCAAGATTGTCGGAAGGGTTGGCACTTGTGAGCTGGACATGATGCGCTGAGTACGTCTAGAGAGGGTCCATACGAGCGGCGGCGAACTCCCTAGAAGCCGGGAAGCTGGATAATCCTGAATATCGGATGATCCAGTTGATGTCACGACAGCGTTCCTAATCGCCACGCGACAAGCATCTACGTCCGCCCAGTGGATCTATATACAAACGGAAATGGAAAATGAAAGCGCATGACGTTGTAACAGGTATAGCTTACATCAAAATTGCAAAATAATCATTTCATCTTTCTTGATGAGTCAGCTGATGTCATTGAGTCGTGCCATGAAAGAATCATCAAGATCCTTCAGATCAGTTTCGGGATAGGAATGATGGGATCATTAGGCAAGCTGCTCTTACCAACTTGTCATCATCATCGTACAGCGAAATACAGAGAAGCGATCTTCACTGATCGCTGCCAAACTCGCAATGCACATGCATTGGGGTTTAATGGACGGGTACTACTAGGGTGTCTAGCCATTACCCAATCAAAAGTTATTCGCTCGAAAAAAACAAGTAACTATTTGTTATCAAGACCGTAACCGAGTTTTCATGGATGATAAAAAGTGAAGCGTATTTAAACTGTTCGTTCATCGTCTTATAATAGTCTCTATTTGATTGATAGATTGTTTTAAAGAAGTCGACAAAATAAGACTACTTACGCCACAAAGTTGTGCCAGATTAAATAGATCTGGAACAGTGAAATGCAATTCTTCGTTTGGCCCAACGCAAGAGATCTCCTCGGTCGACGAGGTTGGAAGACAGTACATGCTGAGCAGAGCAAGTGCAAGGCACGAAGGACGGAAGGAAGCCGCCTCAGCAGACGTTATTGAAACTTCCAGCTGACGGCTGAAACTTGAAAGACGAGATGAGTTCACCGAATGCAGATGACCACACGGTGGTGCTCCGGAGCCCCATAAGCCAAACGTGATAAATGTTTGCAGGAACTCGCAGGCTGTAGCCGGACAGGCCCCAATAGCTGCAACATTTGCTGGGCTCAGCTTGGACAGGATGATTTCCACCATGCGAGTAAGGTCAGCTGTTGTTCCGCCGCATCGAGACAGCGTCACCAAACTATCCGGCGTTGGTAGTAGAACATCCTAAGAGGAAATGCGAAACAACCAGGAGTGATAGAATTAGACGCTAGGAGGGATAACAGAGATTTATATCTGAATTTTCAAATCTGAATAATTATGTCAATTAATTGACCTGAATTCGTATCAAGATTGTTATGATCCGAACGCAGATTTGGAGTTTGATAACACTAGGTAAAAAGGACTAAGTCAAAGAAAGATACCGTCGGTGAAATTAGACCCGTAGTAAGGAACCGAGACCTGACTAGGTTAGACACCCCTAATCCATGGGAATGAGCTCAAAAATGTATGATGCACTAGCTTGAAGTTTTTACTACCGACCGATTTCCCCTTCCTCATTACATATTCGATGAAAGGAAGTAAAAGAAACGGTGCAGTTTTGTCCACTGCACAGAACTGCGCTCATCCACGCGAAGGTTGGGTAGCTGCCTTTCGGTTACCTGCTGACCAATGAAAAGGGTAAAACTGATAGAAGCTGAGAGAGTTAAAAGATACAGTACGTGGGTAAACTAGAAAATGAGCAGATGTTTACTCAATCAAATCACCCATTGCCAAGACTGGTCACGAATTCTTCCATCGGGAATAATAACGTTTCGGTGGTAGGTAGCTTTGCTGTCGTCCGGTTCAATACCACGACTAACCCAGAGGGGCCTTGTGTGGTTCACCACTCCAAGCCCCACGGCTTGGGTTACCGGTTTCCATCACTGAACAGCAGCTCCCCTCGACTATGGTGCTTTCCCCGTCTGCCGTTCATCACACTAAGGTGCGTTATGAAAAAATACGCGATTTTCTTGGCCAAGCTTCAACTCCGGGTCAGACCGTGGCCTGGACTTCTCACTCCGTTTGCTCCGGCAAACCTGGCATATGGGGAGCTATTGGATGACATACATCATCAGCAATCCACAGCGGGATGCAGAGAACTGAACTTTGCTGATTGCAGCTTAGCTCATATTTACTAAGTTCATGTAAGGTGGATAGGGAAACACAAAATTGGTGAACAGAATGATCTTAATGTACATACACAAACCAACAGAGACGTCTACTCATGACCTGTTTTTTTATTACACATTTGTGTGGTGAACCGCAAACGGGGCGAACCCCATAGTCACAAAGAACAGCTGCTCTGTCATGGAAACCGGTAATGGAAGGCCCCAATAGGTTAGGTGTGGTATTAAACCGGATTGTTGGGGCATGTGTAACGCATGTCACCAAATAGGTTGCCACGGTGAGCGATATTCGCCGAGGCAAGTAATGGGTAGAAGAAAGTCAAGGGTGGCCAAGCTAAGACCTGGCACGAGGGTATGAAAACCCTGACCAGGAAACTGGGTCACATAGGTCCCGTTAGGCTTCCTGGCTGGGGACCTCGAGAAAATCGTACCCGATGGTTAGAGACACTGAATGATATGGCTGGGTGTCGTAAACAGTGGCATTCTTGCATCTTCTCAATTTCTTTGCTGGAGTTTTCACCTTCCTCTTCGACTCTACCTTCAACTTTCTTGTTTTTCTGCTATTATTCATCCAAATGGGCAGCCAAAAGACAGCAAACAAAACCGGCGCAAGAAAGTGCATGGTTATTGGTTATTCAAACTGAAAATGAACTTGCGAGGCTGGAACCCCGGGCCATAGAGTCCAAAGCATGCCAGCGACAGCGATTAAGCCACTGAGCCACCGCCACCCAAATCCTTTGGCGGTAGGCAGCATTGCTGTTGTCCGGCTTAATACCAGGCTTCAATTAATGAGGCCTTATGTGCTACTCCAATTCCGGGGCTTAGGTTGCCGATTTTCATTGGTGAACAGAAAGAGGTTCGATGATTGGGGGGTTAGGCAGTCTAGTTTCTCACACACGTAATAAAGTGGGGCGTTTTCACTGAAGTGATAGTATGAAAATACGTATCTGGGACTCTATGGAATAGACGGGAGTTAACAAACCCAGTGCAAGCTACCCACACTAGCTAGCCGAAGACCAGTGAGCATAAGCTGACTGGATAGATTGGGCAACTGAGTTAAGTTCGTTTGAAAACCGCACAACAACACTGACGGATTACGCCCCACTATGCTAGGGCTATGATATTTCAAAGGCCTTAGCCGTATAACATCCTGCGAAGGAACATGAAATGAAGGGCACTTAAGGAAACATCGTTAGATCCAGACAAGGCAAGGTACAAAACAAAACACTACGAGCTTTCACAGCAAACCTTGGAAACTAATGCAAACCACCACCATGCGCTTTGAACACCCCGTCCAACCTGGTTTCTGCATAGTTCGAAAGAAATAAACTGCAACTTGGACGAATCACAGAAGGGTGACGTTCATTGCCCCCGGGAGCAACCTTTCATTGCCAACGAATCTCTTCACACTTCTACTATCCCCGACTGTTGGAGGCCCGTCACAATCATACCAATGCCCAAAGCATCCAGATCTTCTATCCTCTCCAAACATTTTCGTCCCATAGCATTCCATTCTTCAGCTCTTTGATTGACTGAAAAGGCCATCCTCAAACGTCTTCAGTAGTCTATAAACATTCCCAGTGATCCGTTACAGTTTGCTTACAAGCCTAATAGATCCACCTTGGACGCAGTCTCCACCCTCATTCATTTCATCACTAAATCTTTGAACAACTCTGTCAAGTTTGTTCGGTGTGTTTTTCTGGACTACTCTTCTGCATTTGATTTCATTCCTAGATCTAAGTTGATACAAAAACTGGAATCGTTTGGATGCTCCAAGCAATTGTTAGCTAGGCTATCCAACTATTTTACTGATAGGGTACATACCACTAGATTGGGGAAACCCTTAGTCAACAACTTCAAGAAGCTGTGCTATCCCCATAGTTATTTTTCACTTATATTTGTGATATTCCGTGTTTCTCCCGCACGAATTTTGGAGTATAGAGATGATGTGTTGCGCCAATCCATTTTTTCTTACTATGATCTAAGCTCTTTGACCGATAATCTTGATGAAATTCATTCTCCTCCTCATCGGGGTTAACCCTCCAGTAAAAGTGTTGTGTTCATATAATTTTGCTCGCTCCCCATATCCGAAAGACCCTACAGTGATCAATAAAAATCCTTTATCCATGGTGAACTCTGTCAAATATCTTGGTGTAACCATAGATAGTAATCTTCATTGGTCAACCCACACCCACAACTGCATTGGTATACTGCAGCGCCTTTCATTCAAAATACGAAAGCTCAGGCAGTTTCGCGCATCCCAGTCAGTTATTTCTACCTTTTTATCAATGTCTTCCCCATCTTACTCTACTGCTCCCCAGTTATTTTTCCTGGCTTACTCCAACAGGTCTTACGTTGCGGTCTAACCATTATTAGTCGTATCTCTTCTATTCCTGTGAATGAGTTAGCTGTAAAGCTTTCAGAGTATCACGTAACTTCCTGTGTGAAATTTGCTGAGGATTCTCACAGCTCCTGACCACCCATTGCATGCAGAACTGACACGATGTCGTTCCCGTCCTTCAACATGCTCCCAATTCTGCCAACTTTCACCTCGAATTAACGCTTACCGCAATTCACCTATACCGTATCTTGCTTGTCTACTCATAAACAAAGAGCGGACAAGTGAACTTTGTCTTAATCTCGGATTATGAAATGTCCCCATGCCTGTAAAAACTTCTCTCCCCATTGATTATGTACATTGTGTACGGTGTTTTAACCGAAATGTGAGCTCCGGTGTTTGCAAAAGCTACACAATACAATTTTTTCTACTACACAAGTATAATCAGCAGACGGGGCGAACCCCTTAGTCACGAGGACGTGTTTGTTGTTCAGTGGTGCAACCCGGCAACTTAAGCCCCGAGACTTTGGGCGGCGAACCACATGAGGCCCAAATAAGAAGAGTGGGTTCATACTGACTGTAACATGCTCAGGAGACCCGATCACTCCCACAGGTCGTGAGATGGCATCTCCATCTCTAAATAAGGCTTGGTGATTATCATATTACAAAGGCTGGATGAATAAAGACGTCATCACGATAACATACCTGCAGAGAAGCAGCAGATAAACAAAACTTCGACTACAATGCAGGCATTCAGGCATGTATATGCGTGCAAGCGAATGTATTATAATTTTAAATTTCATAAAAATGGTGCACCGAACATTAGATACTCACTTGCGAACGTTCAAATTTCGACGCAATGTAGTAACAAGCGGCGGAGACACACATGGCATATTTTGGCTTCACCTAAGAGACACTGGTTGGCTAGGAATGAAAACTAACCTTAACGCGGGAAATAAAGGAATCCATGAGACAAACAGCCTTGCAGAAAATTGAAGTTGAGAGACCATAAAATGCGCTATGTAGACACCAAAGCTTAGATAAGGTTTCTTGACGGAGAGGAGCATCAACTTTATCATCGAACTCCTGAAAAAAATCAATCAAGTGGATGCTTCAGAAACTTACCGCATTGACACTCAATAGATGAGATGTGTCCGCATGCATGAGTCCTTCCTGAGTGAGCAGACTGTAGAGTTTCTCGTGAAGAATAAAACGCGTCTGGTGGGGTAAATGGGGAGTATGTGCAACATACGGATACGCGTCCATTTTCATCTATGCTTGGGGTCGCAACATAGCCAGGAAGAGTGCATTTAGCTTCTAAAAACAGTGGAACCGAAGCTCCTTCATCAGATGGTCGTAGTGCAGGTGAAAAACTAGACTGGACCGAGTCAGAACGCTTCGAATGCTCGCGATTCTCGGTCCGTTTTTTGCACCGACGGCTTTTCTTAGAGCACTTCACGGAAGTTATCAGTGCTTTTGGAATGTCTCCTCCGGTGGATCCCAGCACTCGCACAACGCCGCGTGTCCCGGTCACCATCATTCCGGAAAACTTCAGTGCGACAGCGTACGGAAGTAACAGACGGCACAACTGCTACCCTAACAAAGGTTGATCGCTTAATGGCCAACGTAGCGCGCTCTCTGATTGGAGGATACAATACGACCTTGGTGAGGAAACAGCTGATGATCGACCTTTGTGTTCAGACAAAGCACAAGTGGATAACTCAAACAAACCAAACAATCTTTTGCTGTAGGCGGGTTAAGAATCATCTCGCATAATTTGTATAAGTTTGTCATCATATAATCTGATTGAAATAGTTTATAAATGATATACTCCCTCATAGTTCCGAGCAACTACACTCTAAAAATGTCGCCGTAAACACGAGTAATATGCACCGCTTGAAGTCTTGAAGTGGCTCTCGGATTCGGGGTTGGCGCTCAATGGTCCCGGATCCTTGATGGTTTCTTGTCGTCTGTTCTTGGAGCTCCAAGTTGCATTCTAGAATGCAAATGGAAAATCAGAGAAAACTGGAGGGGCAAAATATCGTCTTGCCCGGGGACTAGCGATTAATAAATGTAACAATTTGCTATAGTAAATGGGGAAATGCATAAATAATTAGAAGAGAGCTACAGTAAGTAAAAAAAATAAAAAGTGATTTTTTGTTTTTTATAAAAAAAATTTTCGCAGGAGGACTCAAGAGGAGGCAACTAGACTTAGATACTTATAAAGTCGAGAATTGAATGACGCTTTGCTTGTTGAAGAGCCTATCTATTCTGGCAATGCTTTCCAGTGCGTGATTACCCTGAAGGTGAAGAAAGATGTGCGAAGTGTGGTGCGGGGTAGAGGTTTGTATAGCTTTTTGCTATTACCCCGTGTTCCACCCGTGGGGACTAAAGTGAAAAACTTATCTACGAGGCTCGAGGAAAACAGGTGGTGTAGAAGAAATAAGTCACCCCTAATTCGCCCGACTTCCAGAGGATACAGATCAAGCTCCACTAAACGTTCAGGATAGGGAAGATGTTGCGATCCAGCCGCCGTTTTTGTTGCCGCTCTTTGAACTCGTTCAAGAGCATCACGATCACGGATCAGGCCGGAGTGAACAACTTGACCACCATATTCTAGGAGAGGACGGATATATGTGCCAAAAGTAAGTGGAAAATCTCTTCTTGGTGATATGGGTGAAAGACCTTCGAAAAAAGTGAAGAACACGGAAGGTAGGTTTAATCAGTAGCCTAGGGCATTGTGCAAGTTGGTATGCTGAAGAGGTTGCGCATCACTTATATGAAACGAGACGGGAGAGGAGTTCCCATAAGTCATGCCTACACACTTGTCATCATTGATAGGCAGATTCCATTCAGCGGACCAGTGTTTAACAGCATCGATAGATGTCTGTAGCATGCGGGTATCTGTACTCCAGATAGTGACATCATCTGCGTACATAGCTACGTTTGCAGGTAATGCACTGGGTAGATCGTTAATATAAATAAGAAGAGAAGAGGACTGAGAACATATCCCTGAAGGACACCGGTTGTAATAGGGCTAGGTTCGGATAGTGTACCGTTTGGCCTTACAGAAAAAGTGCGGTGAGAGAAAGCTGCAAATAAGCGATAGAAGAGGATCAACGATTCCGCACTCCCCTAGCTTGTGTCTCAGTGGGATGTGTAGGACCTTGTCGAAGGCTTTGACAAAATCTATATATACGGCGTACGAGGTATGGCCTTCATCATAAGCCTTTGTTTAACTATCCATGACAGTCAGCATATTGGTAATGCAAGATCTGCTTGGCAGAAACCCGTACTGCAAGGTTGAAAGTAAATTATTTGCGCAGAGGTGCTTCAAGATGACCCCTTTTAGCATGTGCTCTAGACTTTCTTCGGGACGCTAGTCAGGGAGATAGGACGGTAGCTTACTGGAAGGAATCTGCTACCTTTTTTGTATAAGGGGGAGAGAATTGCGGCTTTCCAGCGAGAAGGGAATATCCCCTCATCCATACACCGTTGGAAGAGTCGGGCGTATGAGAAAGCTGAGATATCCGCCGATTCATTAAGAATTCTGCGGTGTACTTTGTCAGGCCCCATAGCGCAGTAAAGGTTAAGGTTCCGTTGAGGTTCCTTCGGTTCAGTTCAGTTGATATCTAGGAACGTGACGGCTACTGCCAGAGTGTCCAGGTTCTTCCACTGATGAGCTCCTTGGATCCTCCGGTGCTGCAACAATAGGAAAAATGAAATTCCTCTTCTGTTAGGACAGGGTAAGCATACTCGGGTGTCCCGACCTGCAGACACTGATCCCACTTCGTGCGTGCAGGATCATACTTGTTATCCGTAAGCCACTTAGCGGGTTGTCTGTCCAGAAACTAAATCATAAAAGGGATAAGCCTGTAAAGTCTGGGTTTTGAGTGAGAGAATCAAGAGAATAGTTATTCTGGGGAGTGAGATAGGCATGATTGGGAAAGGATAAGTATAAGCAGAGATAACATAAGCAGCGAGAAGACGCTAACGGTAGCGGCAAGTGAAGATCCGTTGAGATTAGGAGGGGATACAAATTTTATCGAAGAAAAAAGAGAGGGTAATCTGGCAGCAGAGTGCGTTCACTACGATCCCGCTCGGTGGCTCAGTCAGTGAGCTACGCTGGACTCAGATATTTCGTCCCAGATGCTATCAAGCCGGTGTTTGAAGCTCACGACTGTCGTGGCCTCTATCACCTCCTCTGGGAGTTTGTTCCAATCGTTTACCACTCTTTCTGTTAAGAAGTATGCTCAAAGTCTGGTCCTGACACGGTTCTTTTTAAACTTAAGGCTTCGTTCGGGAGGGAAGAGATTGAACTATTGCAGTCTTTCCTCATATGCCCTCTCCCTTAGGTCAGGGAACCACCTATTGAACCGCCTCTGGACCAGCTCTAGCATCTTTATGTTCCTGACCAGGTAGGGTCTCCACGTCTGCACACAATATTCCAAGTACGGCAGGACAAATGCCTTGTAAAGTTGGAGTAAAACCAATCGTTACCTTGAACTCACTACTCGACGCAACTGGTGAAGAGCCCTTGATGCTGTTAGGGCAGCCGTTTCACACTGCGCCCGAGGCTGGAAGTCCGATTGGATTGTCACTCCAAGGTCCTTGGTGGCGGCCCTTGTTCAGGTCAGGCCAAGTTGCACAGGTAGTGGCCACAGGCCAATCAAGCGTCCAGAATTCTTTCGGTGGTGTGCTCACGAGTGTGCATTTACCTCTTCAATTGATCGATTTCTTCGCCTATCTGCAAACAGAGAGAAAGAGAAACCTTACTTCTCGCCGTGTCGGCGAGAGGCTTTTAATGTGTATGCGTTGATACAGCACCGCTTCCCATCCCTAGCTTCCGCACGGTATGCTCGGTGCCTGCAGCCACTAGGTGGACACATCTGTGCACGTTGAGTGGTAAGTCCCACTCGGTTGCCCATTGCTAGACCCTGTCCAGGTCGTTTTGCACCAATGCGTCAACCGGACCAATGATTGTTACGTCGTCAGAGAACTTAAGCACGGGTTTCCCAAGTTCTGATCAACGTCATCCACGTAGAGTAGGAATAGCAGGGGCCCAGGGACTGACCCTTGAAGTACCCCATCATGCATGTGCCCTTCCCCTGACACTTCCTCCCCTACGCACACCGCGAATGTCCTTCTAAGCAGGGTTGCCCTGATCCACACCACTATTTGGTTTGATAAACCGAAACACTGGAGCTTGGATAACAACAATCGATGGTTTACTGAATCAAAAGCCTTCAGGAAATCTAAATGGATTACCTCGACCTTTCCTCCGTCGATTATCCTTGCCACTTCCTCCAAGTAGCATAATAGGTTCGATAAGCAAGACCTCTTACGCACGAACCCATGCTGCGATTCGGTAACCAGTCCGTGCCTTTCCAGGTGGTGAACTATTCTGTCTCGGATCACTGTCTCTATCACCTTCAGCAACACAGAAGTTAGGCTAACAGGCCTGTAATTCTCCCTAGCGCTTTCATTTCCACCCTTGTGTATGGGTGTGATGATAGCGTGCAGCCACTCCTCCGGCAAGGTTCCAGTTTCTAGCAAAGCATTGAATAGCTTCACTAGCGGACCTGGCACTATAGAGGCTAGTGGTTTCAGGATGGCCGGATGGATGCCGTCCGGTTCGACTGCCTTGTGCTTAACCAAATGAGAGATATCTCTTCCGACTTCTTGACCCGCAGTTAGGTGATCACATATTGCTGGTACATCTCTCGGATGGATTGGGCAGTATGTGTTCCATGTTGAAATTTTGAAAATCCTTCCAAAACCATGATGATTTATGGTGACATAACTCTGTGTGTTGCTTCTCTATAGATATGTCTCAATCACAAACGCCATACATTATTCTTTATCTGTTAATTCGATGCCCGGCACATTTGACTTTTGCGTGGTCAGAGAACTTGAGCAACTGTTTGGCCCTCTCTGAACATCATATTTTGCTCGCTTGCGTGAGTGCGTTTGGCCGCATATTTCAGGTTTGCTTTATTGTACATTTTGTAATGATTTCGCTAATTCAGTACCGTAGAACATTACGGTTCAATCGTGTTTTATTTCTGGATTCGTATCGGTTTCGGCTACGCGTCACTCAAGTGTGTACAGTACTCAAATTGGAATCAAACGAGAAAAATATTTCGAAAATTCCCAGACGATGAACCAGGGAAACTGGAACCCAACAGAAAGTAAACCGGCAAGTCCCTGGGGGGGAGGCCGTGGGTCATTTTGATTCTTTAGAAAATGTTACGTCTGTTAGATTTGTCAGTGCTGTTTCATGTGTAGATTCAGATATTAAGGATATTGATATATTTAGATTGCGGGTTTCTGAATTATAGCATGAGTTGAGATTAGCTAGGCAGCAGATAGAACAGGCCAAACGTGAAAAAAACGATTTCATCGGCACAACATCACCTCGAGCTGAGACTGCACACAGTGGCTTCTCTCCAAATAAACAATCCGTCCCGAAGCAACGAACGTATGCCCATGTAAACGCCCATTTGACAAGAGTTGAACTGACACCTTTTGACGGCAATC